CCCATCTATCCTATCGAAGTCCCTCTACTGCTCGCCTATCCTCTAGATAGCCCTCTGACAGTTTTTTTATAGCAGAATAATAATGCTATAATAGGCTAGTTATATAATTACTTATTCTCTTAAAAATAATATAGTTTTATAACTTTATAAAAGGCCCTCTTTTAGAATTGCAACACTTTCGCAATGCACAGTACTGTAATTTTTTTGGCCACAACCCGATTTTACCCGATGTTTATGATAACCGGGTGCGAGGCCAACATCCCATTACACGATTCCTCCCGTCATTCGCACCATGGGAATTTCTGGAGATGGCTTGCATCTGGCATTACCTCATGCAAGGATGGTTACCTATTCTACGAGACGTTCCAAATAGAATGCTATACGGCAAACATGGGCCGAGTAATGCTGCTGATTGGGAACGTGAAATCACCGATCTAAGTTTAACCAGCAGAGACCGCATCGAGGACCGTTACTACACTGGTATCCCTACTCCCATCCTTTTGCAGTCTTTTTTTAATAATACCTAAACAGGCTCATCTCCAGATGCAGACGACGAATCCTACATTTTGCGTGAAACCCGAGACCGGCTTGAGTATTTTGCACATCTAGGCCCACAATTCTTTGACAAGATTCTGGCCAAGGAGCCGGTGCACAAGCGGCGCGATGCTATCCAGGATATCTGGGTAGGGAGCGTATTTGAGACGTTTGACAGTAATTGGTATCCAACTCTTCTCCAAGGTCTCATCCCACCAGCAAGGAAATACCAGGACCCAAACATCCTTACGCAATTACCTCAAATGCCGGCGTCCGAGCAGCCTAGTGGCGGTTGGAAATGGTTCTGTGAAAAATACAGTATCGACTCGCTGGGGATAGGACCGTATGTGGGTTAACAGGCAAGCGTGGGATAAAATGTACGATCATAGTAGTGCAGATGAGCTTGGATGGGGATTCCCCTTCTGGGACGATGAGAGACTGGAGATGTGGGGTGTAGTCGTTGAGAGGGGGGGAGAAGAAGAGTGAGAAGGAGTCATAAGTCGAAGACTGGTTGGATCAGCACTGGCCAGGGGATTTCTAACAGTGCTGGCGACATTGAATCAGTGTACCGGGCGGGCTTTAAACACAAGTATCCCTACGCTCATTAAGATTGTAAAACCAAAACAGCGCCACGAAAGCTACGCTTCCAAAGTCAGCAAGAAACTCGCAACACAGGGGCGGGAATATGAAGAGCATCGTTCCCACCATGGGAGGTTGTGGAGATTGCTTGCGTCTGGTTCTATCTCATAGAACGCTGGGGCGTCTATCCTTCGGGAAGTCTTAGACACTAAGCCCATGACAAGAGAGGAGCAGGACGACCGCGGTATATCTCATGTCCAGCGGCATGAGAGGGATGTTTGTGAGTACCTTGGACACCAAGTGCCGGAATCTCTAGCCAAGATGCTGGCAAAGCGGACGGTGAAATCGCGTCGCAACATCATTAAACATATCTATGGTCATCGTCCGATTCAGCCATTTGTCAGGTTCGAGGAATACCCACATTCGGTCCGTGGTGGGATGGACATCGATGACTTTTTTGTCATGCCTGAATTTACAGCAGTACTGGTTTGGTGACAGAAAAGAGTAAAACGACCAACCCATCAAAGCGCTAATAGGAATTGAACCATTTTATTGCTATACTCTCACACTACTATGACGGCTCAAGTATATATCGGATTGGTTTCCCTAGTGTGGTCTGCTTTGGTCATCCCGCCACTCTACCAGCTCCGTCGGATAGCAAAATCGCTATACTACGTAATGCTGTCAGACAGAAGCTACTAGTTAGTACTAGTGTATGGTCCACTGGGGACCCCGGTCCTCTTGGTCCAACTGACTTTGTGTAGCTCATTGTCTACAAGGCCTCTTGTGCCAGACAACAAGAGTCTTAATTTCACCAAGAAGTCCTTTGAAGTAGTACTGAAAGTGGATGCCTGATCTGTGCCTCGTCCGCCAAGACTTTTATCCACCTTATCCATGACCGCTTACGTAGTAGGCCTGAATCACTCACTGCACCTGAGCACAGCAAATAGACAGACCATTGCGGCATCGTGTACAAGCAAACGGCTACTCCTACTCCATGCTCGGTTTCCCAACAAGCTAACCAGCTCACCTCCAGTAATATATTTCGCCGCTGCTCTAAACTACTCGCCAACAGAGCCTTGTAAAAATTAACCCCACCTCGCCAGCCCAAAATGAGCTTTCTCAAGGCAATCCGCGAGTGCCTCACAGGCCAGGATGAGCCCGAGTACACCAAGACCAACGACGAGAAGACCGAGGTTGGTTGGAGGTACCCCGAAGAAAAGAACACTCGTCCCCAACCTACCACCGAAGAACTCGCCGCCTCCATCCTCTCCACCCTCTTCACCGCCGAAAAATCCGGCCACGATCTCGACCGCCGTGTCCAAGACATCGTCCGTTCCTGCGGCTGGTACGAAGGCCTCGCCAAGCGCGTCCTGGACGGTCTCGTCGCTGCCGTGAAATCTGGGGCGGCCATGGGTGGGGCCATGAAAGAGGCATCCGACAAGGCCACCGTTGCGGCTTCTGATTTCGTGCACGAACACCCAGTCTTCACTGCTGCGGTGGCTGTTGTCGTCGCGATTGGGATACTGGTTCTTCTCGCGCCATGGGCTGTTGAAGCGTTAGGATTTGGGGAGTTAGGTCCCATTGAGGGTGAGTTGAGAAAGAGCCTCCCGAGAGACGACAGTGTGCGGCCGACTGACTTGACATAGGCTCATTTGCGGCGTGGTGGCAATCGACCTTCCCGGATGTCGAGGCGGGAAGTTTCTTCTCTTACCTGCAGAGATTGGGCATGAGGTGGGGGAGGAAATGACGAGTGACCGTCACGGTGGCATTGGGTAGGTACAGAGACCCTGGAAGGACGGTGATCTGGAGATTCAGAATGCCTGGGCCACGAGAAATGAGGATGGCAGGTTCGGAAAAGCAGTCTACTTGTCGGGCTCTGATGGGATCTCGTTCAAGTCTTTTGCTGTTGAACTTGAAATAAATTGGGAATTTCATAGGGTCAGGTAGACAGGAGTAGTGCTTAAAGCCCGCTGTCAATCAAGAGGTTAGCATAACTGCGAGTCATTCTCTAATGCTCTTGATCAAGATGTATCAGGTAACATCAATGCTTCCGGCCTCCCTTTAGAAAAATTGTTAAGACATATGTGTCTACTGCAACACCTCTCACAGCGTCGCGAGCGCGGAGAGAGTTGTTAAGCTTGAAGTGTCCATGGCCATCTACGTCTGGCGGCAGGAGACAACTGAACGAAGAAGTGGTCAGGATGTTGCATCAAAAAACGTGGCAAGCAAAACGTACGGCATATATCTTTCGACAAGATGCTATACTCTATCATGCATCGTTGGTGGAGTTTGAGTTAGCACTTGGTAAGCTTCTAGGCCCCCGATCCAGTAGCCCTTGTCGATGATGTCTGGCCCTTTGAGCTTGCAAGTACATGTGCTGGAGTTCACATGCCCATTACCCTTGCCATATCCCGGACTTGTTGAATCTTTGCCTCCTCCTCCCTCGTTGGTGGCCTAGGTCTCCACGGGCCCGTGTATCCTTCATCCCAAAATCCAGCCATCATACCTGCCGGTGATGCCGTAGGCGGAGCCAGCAGCAGCGTAATCCTCGCTTCTTCATGCATTTTCCTGATCTGTTCTTTACGTTCCCAGTCAGGGCCGAAAAGTAGTGCAAAGTTGGCTGGATTGTCTTCGCCGGCAACCACTAGGCGCCGCATCGGGTGCATCATGCCAGACTTGAATCCGCTCATCTCGCCGTGGGGAAATTCGAGTTGTAAGCGAGATGCTAGTGTCAGAATCCCTGCATATATGATACGTATCTGTTACGTATTAACATGATGGTACAAGGGTCCCCGTAT